ATAGTAGGCCCATTTTTTGACAGCGCAATGTAATTAGTGGCCAAACTGGCAGGCCTACAAGCGCTAAATCGTCGGTTATCCATGTGTTTTTGCACAATGTTTTTCGACAAAACCAGCCAGTTGAGATGGAAAAGCGCTTGCTGTGGCAGTAAAAATAATTCTCGTGGAGGTTTGGGCGGAATTTTGAGAATTTTCCAATGAACTTCCAGAAGAAACTGATCCGCCCAACCGGTGGCAATTAATGCCGAAAAGGAGGCGCGTTTGCAAAGTAGCAACTTGTTCCACAGCACTTAAATGTAAGAAAATGGAATACACATAATAATATTTCATACAGTTTCCTTTTCGGCTTGCGGCAAGCTTCAAGGGGGAAAGTTTGGGGGCCCAAAAGGGGTTATTTGCATGTTAAACAGTGTCCTACACTATGCACAATATGCCGCATTTACGCACACTTTGCACCACTTCTTCAGGCGATTGTGGTGAAGCTGAGGATCGTTGCAGGTCTTTGTTTATCCTGGCCAGGACCTGGAGGCGCCCTATGAAAAATACTACGTCACTAGGCCGGTGATTGTCTACAAGGGGGAGCGAGGAGAGTACACGTTCAGTGTAAACTTGGCAACGCAGGACCGGAAGCATGTTTCCAAAGTGACTGCGCCCATTTACGCCAACATCAATGGCGAAACTTATCGGCTGAACGCCACTTTTAGTCAAACCCCCGATTGATGAGTACAAGCTGGTTTTATATAGTTTTTATGCACTTGTTTAATTGTTTATCCCCATTCATCGCCGCATGAAGCGCCGTTGTGGAAGCATTGGAGCCAGTTGAGGGCGAAGATGATTCTGAACTATCGGATTTGCAGCCTTAAAACGGAAAAGTGCATAAAACGAGTTCCGATAATGCGAAAAGCCGGACTAACATCTCGTAAATCTTCTTAATTCCTGCTGTTAAAACAACTGGAGCGGGCGGGCGCACGGCGTCTCGGCTGCTGCATTCGCATAATTCACACTTATCTGGAGCTGCAATATTTTCCTTAATTTTACGCGATTTTATTCAAGGGCAGAGTTTCTTCATTCGGGATCTGGCGTATCAGGGATGTTTTGGAAATGTGGCGTCGTCGCACAGGAGATTTGGAATCTAGACATTTTCAGCCCCTTTGTGTGAGTCAAGAATTTGACGTTTATCTCCTTGGAGGTTAGGAATTGATTTAAATAAGAATGACGGTTTGGGACAAACCGTAAGTTCCTTTCCCCGGTTTTCTTCTTGTGAATGATGAGTTTTTGCCGAAAATATCGGAATCGGAGAGATAATTCGGAAGGCTTAACAGGCTCTAGAAAATGCCAATTTTTCTTTATGGCTTGGCTTAATAAAACATCCATTTCATTGCCGCCCTGCAGCTTTGGCGCATTTTCCCAATTGATGAATTTTCCGTTTGCTTATGACGTTCGGAAGCACCTTTAAGTAATCTTTAAGTAATTAATTTCCAGGTGGATTCGATCAGGGGCGGATCCAGCTTTAAATTCAGTCTTCTTTTTTTCTACCAAATATAACTCTTTGCAATCACTTCAATTTGCGAGCGCTGCCTAATAAGTGACGTCAACCTGATGCTCCGCACGCAACTAACGTCAAACAGTATAGAAAATATACACTGCCGGAAAATTGAAGGACAATTTGCAGAAAATTTGTTCTGTGTTTTACGGACTTCGGTTCTCTTGGTGCAACTTGCCCAAATACTCGGCCATTGGTGGTTTACTCGCCACTCGAGCTTGCGAAACCTCGGGAAAACATTCGTTTTGCATTCCGCAAGCCGCTATTGCAAGTTTCCGGATGAGCCCGCGATTGCTCGCCCATTCAAACCCAGACCTTCTAGTATGGTATTTTCTACTGGAGTGAAACTGATATAACAAAAATTACTATCCATATTTGTGACAGCCTAGCAGAGAAACCAAATAAAGTTGCCCAGTTTTCAACAGCTTAATTTTAAACTTCTGCCGATTCTCCTATTGGTCGTTTCAGATCGCCGTGGAAATATATTTTCAAAATTTTTCCCGTTCAAAACTCAGATTTTTTAGCTGCGAAAGTATCAGCTTCGAACGTAGCACCGCACCTGGCTGGGGCATGTCGCATAGGCTCCCATGCGTGCGAGCGAGAGAATCGATGCGAGCTACGTACTGGAATGCGTTTTGATAAAAATCGAGCTATGAAATTTTTTGAAGATTTTGCGGCCATTTAAGCCTGTAAAGATCACCAGTTGAACTGTTTTGTGAAGTTTTAGGGCGTCCTGGACAGAGCAATTTAACACTTTAAACCACCGTTTTTCGTTATTTACTAGAAGGTTTCCCTCTGTATTGGAAGTTGATAAAAAAAATAGCAAACATGCGACAAAAGCCTAGAAAATGGTGAAATTTGTGTTTTATTTTGTAGGTATCGGTGCTCGATAGGAAGCTTGCCAAGTACAAAGTGCTGACGCTGCCGCCCACTCAAAGATCCGACCTCGTTTACCGGCTGCCGTGAGTAAATAAACGCATATTTCGGCTCCAAAATGACGTGAAAATGGCCCATTTAGCGTTCAGTATGACGACATTTTGGAAGTTCGAGTGTCCAGCACGTTTCCCGGATCTAAGGCTGTGGGCCCCGTGGAGTATCAGGTGCCTGCGCAGCTGCAACCCTTCAAGGTTAGGGTCACAGTGAATCAGGAGGATGGCGCTTTTGTGATCTACTGGGCGGAGCCTTTCGTGCCCCTGATGGTCGGCAGGTATTACTACCAGGTAGGAGTTTTCCTATGCTTTTTTGCTTGCTTTTATTGGTAAACTTTGCCGTTTAAAAAACAGCGGCAACAGTGCACTTTGGGTCTGGATTCTAAACTGAGTGATGCAATATTTTCCCTATTTTGGGCTGTTAATGTTAATTAATTTGTCGGATACATTGAAAAGTCAACGAGATCGAAATAATAGAGCTGACGTGGAAAAGAGTCAAAGGCCATTTTTTCATTGAGTCCTCTGCTTCTCTCGCCGCTTTAGGGTCGTAATTCCCCATTGAGTTGATGCAGCGGCCCGTAAAACCCCTAAAGGGTCCAAACAGTGCCAGTGCGGGTGGTTTTTGTGGTGTAAATGTGATTGGAAAAATGGTCGGCTGGGCAGCAGCGGCGTATCCTGCGCTGCAATGTTTCATTCCGATGAAATTCCTCAACGTCTTCCTCCCATGCAAATGGGGCGTCAAATTTATGCCGCAGCAAGTCGGGCCCACGTGAAAGCAATAATTCCTGCCGGCTTGTTTGTCACAAAACCCCTTTAGCTCTGGGCTGAAAACGGGGTCTACAAACAACACCGCCCTTGTACCAGTTAGTTTAACAACTCTTGAAGCCCTCCTGCATGTCACCGCAACTCTACGGGCTGCCGTAACTCATTTTCTGTCATCACTTCTCTTCCTGCCCTCGCTTTATTACTCACTGTGTATCTTTCGATGCGGTTTTGTGCAAATGCGCGTTTTTAGGGGGTTTATTTCAACCCCGTTTGTTATCAAGGGGGATCCAGGGGGGGTCATGGGGGTAGATTTTCACTCTGCTCAAAGTCCACATTTTCAC